GATGATACCTTATTGTCAGATAGCAATTCTATAGTCCTAGTAGTGTATTTAGTCCTTAGACTTGAGACACCAAGGAAATCATGTATAAGTACTTCATTCTTTGCTACTGGACTTATATGTCTGGAGGTTCTAGATCTAGCATAACTGGTAATCGAGAGTGATAGTCAACCTTACAAGAACTATTAAGTGTCGATAGAGGATCATCCACTCTCGGTGTTATGAGAGGAATGTCCCATATGTTTTACTCAGACAAATCTCTGGCCAAGGTCATTCGGATTGAGAGAGAGAGAGTTCTTCATGAGAATCTGATTAGAGCGAGACTCAAATAGAAACTGTATGGGTCTAACAGCACCATGTCCGGTATACAATCTCTGAGATATTAGATAGATGATGGACTATAGGTATACAGTAATTGAGGACAGATAGGTCCAATGGAGTTCTCCCGGTTCAATAGCTCCCCACTCCCTCCATTCCTTCTCCTCTTCCTTCTTCACAAGCTTCCCTTATTACTGAAGTAATATCCTCAGAAATACAACAATCTTCTTTATCTAGTGCCACTAATATATCTCAGCTTATCCCGACCCTAGTTGATGCCTCTCCACCACCCATACCAATAACACAACTTATAGTTCCTATACATCCAATGACAACTTGCTCAAAAAGTGATATCTTTAAACCACGTTAGGTTCTCGGCCTACATGCTATCACCGAATCCTCTCCCGAGACCAATGAACCCATCATAATTACTCAAGCCCAAAATTCTCTTCACTAGCGTAAAGCCATGTGTGAATAATATGATGCTCTACTCTATAACTTCACATGGACTCTTGTACCTTTTCATCCTACACAAAATATCATCGAGTGTAAATGGGTCTTCCGAATTAAGCGAAATCCCGATGGGTCCGTTGATCGATATAAAGCACGATTAGTAGCCAAAGGATTTCATCAACGACCTAGAGTTGACTTCACAAAGACTTTTAGTCATGTAATTAAACCCACAACAATTCGACTTATTCTAAGTTTGGCCATCTCCAGAGGCTGGCACTTAGGACAACTGGATGTTAACAATGCCTTTTTACAGTGGACTCTAACTGAAGATGTCTTTATATAGTAATCCCTTAGCTTTGTTCATTACCAATATCCGAGATATGTCTGCAAATTATAAAAAGCTATTTATGGATTTTGTCAAGCTCTAAGAGCTTGGTATACTGAACTTGGATCATTTCTAATATCAATTGGCTTCATCAACTCCAAGTCTAATATCTCATTATTCCTACGATGACAACATGAAAATACAATATATCTTCTAGTATATATAGATGTTATTATTATTACAGACAATAATCCCTTGGAGATTCAGACATTTTAAAAAAAATTGATTGATCGATTCTCCCTCAAAGATTTAGGACCCTTGAGCTATTTTCTGAGAATGAAAGCAACATTTATATCCTTAGGTCTCCTCCTCTCACAGAGAAAATATATTCAAGACTTATTATCAAAGACAAATATGTAGGATGCAAAAGAAGTTGCTACTCCTCTCTCTACTAGTGAATTACTCAAATTATGTGATGACAACCCTACCACGGACTCAACTCAATATCGACAAGTACTTGGCTCTTTACAGTATTTGGCTCTCACCCGTTCATATATCTCATTTGCAGTTAATAAATTATTTCAATACATGCACCAGCCTTCTGCTATGCATTGGTCTGCGGTTCGGTATCTTAAAGGGACCCTTAATCATGGTCTCTTTCTCCGCAAAACCACTCCACTTCATCTTCATGCCTTTGCTGATGCTGATTGGGCAGGAAACTTTGATGATAGAACCTCCACGTCAAGGTATGTCATCTTTCTTGGGTCTAATCCAATAAGTTAGAGTTCTAAGAAGCAAAAGACAATGGCATGATCTACAACGGAAGCTGAATATCATGCTATTGCTACCGCTGTTGTTGAACTCAATTGGGTCATAAATCTCCTCAAGGAACTCAAAGTCAGCTCTACCTATACTCTTACAATATATAGTGACAATATTGGAGCTACCTACTTATGTGTCAATCCAGTGTTCCACTCATGCATAAAACATATTGCCATCGACTTTCACTTTGTGCGAGATCAAGTTGTCAGACATCAACTTCGTGTCTCTCATATCCGTACGGATGATCAACTAGCAGACTCACTCACGAAGCCTCTAGCCCGCAAACTATTTTTGTTGTATCGGTCCAAAATCGGTATCCTTGACAGGAGCTCGATCTTGCGGGGACATGATAACAGAGAGATTTCTTCTGATAATAGAGATTTCCTCAATTGCATAAGAAAATCTCTTTGCTTAGTTAAAGAAATCTTCTCTTTCACATGTATAAATAGACTTCATGTGATACTAATTGGAACGTGCTTTTCTCTTTACCTTTACAATTTTATTCTTTATTCTTTCATTTTATTAGTTTTCACACTCCATGATGCTAAATTTCAATCAACTTGGGATGGTCATAGATAGTTTGTCCTCCGTATATAAGACATTGCATGAGTATTGAATTCTTCGGGTTGACAATTTTCCTTGTCACTATGAGTTTTGTACAAACTATTTCGATTGTCAGGCAACTCATCCCTCTTTGCACAATCTCATCTTTTGTTAAGTACCCCCACTTGCATTAAGTTTGGTTGCTAATGACAAGCTATGTCAGCCATCCCAACCTTTGCATGCTATATGTTCTTCCTGGTTCACTTATTTTTGTGGTGCCTCTTGCGCGAAGGATTAGTCATTCCTTTGAATACTAATATCGGATGCCCACTCTTATAAGTGACTTATTTTCCTACATCTCTATGCTCATTTCCCTCAAACGAACAGACATACTAGCTACCCACAATATAACCTTGCTAGGTCTCTCATATTTGCATGTAAAGATTTTTAAGTGTGCTTGTCTTAGGTGGTTTGGTGTAAGTTGTGCGGCACCCTTATATATCCGTTCGTAAAAGATCAACATCTTCATAACCTTTATGGTCTCCTAAAGTTCTACAAAAGAAAAACATGTTAAAATTATATTTAAGATCCCACAAATAAACATTTCTGATAGATAATATAAAATATAAAGATAGACTTCACAAGCTCTAAATGATCGTACAACAAATGGTTTATGATAGTCTGTCACGATAAAAAATCCTCACATAACACTTCTGCATAATTAAACAACGAACCAATCCTAAACACTACCTCAAAAGTCAATCCAATCTTGTGCCACCTAGGTAGATCTTGAGTGTTGAGATGACTGATATTTTGAACTGTCTAAATAATTTTATCTCTGTACGAGTCTGAAACGATTACAAAAGTCAATCAAAAACTTCATGCTATCTAAATCATGAATAAAATTAAAAAACATGAACATACAAAGATAATTATATCAAATACTTTATCTTAACTTTAATTTATTGTTAATCGAGATTCATTACTGAGGGAAAAATATAAAAAATGGAAAGAGTTAATGGGTCTTGGAATTGAAATTGAGTGATAAGTTAAAAGATTATTTATATCCATTTATAAAATTAAAAATAAAAATATTAAAATTAGAAGAAAAAAAATTTGCAATTGGTAATTTTTTCACTATTAACAACCGTTGCTATTTGTTATCCTCACAAACCCCCCTCCCCTCCCATCTCCTCCCACGCTATCTTCCCGTCGTCATCTCCACCTCCCTCCCCCCGTCCCTCCCTCCACGTCCTCCCCCACTCTCTCTGCGCTCCGCCTCCCCCTCCCCCTGCCCCTGCCCCTGCCCCTCCACCTCCTCCCCCTCTCTCTCCCGCCTCTGTCTTCCCTACTCTTCCCCCCTCTCCCCCTCTGCCAGTTTGTTTTGGCTTGCCAAGAGCCCAGTTGTGATTGCATCAGCCTCAGAGGGGAACCGGAAGAGGAAATAGCCGCCGGCCATGTCCAGAATTAAAGGGCATATGGAGGAAGACCATAGTTTGAACACTAGCTTTCAGAGCATCACGAGGAGGAGGAAGTTTTCCTAAGGAATCTGCCCCCCACCATAAGCCTAGGCTTCCTCTATTCAGGTTACAAGGAGTCATCAAACTCAATAAAATCTTGAGAAGCATTTTTTATACGATCGAAAACTCCAGAAGAGAGGAAGCAGAAGGATGAAGTAGAGGAAGGAGCTTTGCCAGGAGGGGCGCCAGGATCCGGAGGCCCCGGGGCAAGGGGAGACGAGGAAGCCCGGGCAGCATCACCAGCGCCATCCACCCACTTATCGTCAGACCGGCCCGCGCCTCCCGTGCCCTTGGTGCCGGAGCTCAAGGAGGAGTGCACGGTAGCGCCGGCGCGCTTGGCACCGGAGCCCGCCGAAGAGGGAGCAGCACCACCAGCGGCCTTCGCTCGCTTGTCGCCAGAGCCGCCCGGAGCGCCAACACAGCTTTACAATCCTTCACTCTTTTGCTCTTTTTACTGGGTTTTCCTTGATCAAGGGAGAAAAAGGGGCACAAATCTAATATGGAATTCTTATATTACGAAAAGCGAGGAAAAGAACCGGTGATTACAAAGCACACAGTTCGGTAGCTTTGCGTTGGAGGCATTGTGGGGAACAGGCACAGTCTGTAAAAGAAAGCTGCGGCACCTGGTAGTGGGATCCGGCGTCGGACTTCACCGACGAGAGCGCAGCGCTGTTCATAGCTAGGGGAGACAAGGGCCGAAAGTGCCATAAACTGTACGCTTTCGAACGTGGCAGTTGCAAATGGTGAGTCATCAGAACATGGCTGCTGGAACCACGGCGGAGTCCTTTTTGGAAGTGCCAACCCAAATCCGGCCCGCTTTTGGACCTCTCTTCGGGTCAATCAAATGATCCCCGATCACAGTAATCGACGGTTGAGATCAGCTTGGGTTTCTTTTTTTAATCGTATTTGTTTATTCGCCACGTGGAATTTTCTTTTGCGGCGGGTTCGAATGCTTCGAGGCTAAGCTTGCTGTCTCCCGGACCACGCGGTGGGGCTCGTCCCTTATGCTTCTTCCCCTCTGGAAGGCGTGTATATATACCGAATCCCCGCGGGCTGATTCCATCCATCCAACCAAACCAAAAGCACGCTTCCTTTACTTTACCCTGCTCACAGAAGGGAGAGCGAGGAACAGGCGACGGATCGAGCGCGATATGGAGATGGGAGAGTCGGGAATCGAGAGTCTTCCGGACCTCTGCGTCGCTCACTCCATCTCCCTCACGTCGCCCCGGGACGCGTGCCGCTTATCCGCCGTCTCGGCCGCCTTCCGCGGCGCCGCCACTTCTGACACCGTCTGGGACCGTTTCCTGCCCACCGATTGGCAGTCGCTCGTCTCCCGCGCTGTCTATCCCGTCGAGTTCTCCTCCTCTTCCTCCAAGCGGGATATCTTCTTTCGCCTCTGCGATCCCATCCTCATCGACGACGGCAAGATGGTTAGTACAAATCCCCTCACTCTCGTTTTCTACAATTATGTTGCAGCAAAAACTAAGCTGTTGTTCGGATATATCTCTAATCAAATTCAGCAAAAAAAAAAAGTTCTTTTATTTGGAAGAACAAGGGTATACTTTGATCATTCCGATTCCACAAAGGTGTTGTTATAATGTTGTCACCTATGATCCATCCCATCGAGCGTCTTTCACTCACATATTGATATGTCTCTTGAAATTGATTTATGTTCGTCTTTGCAGAGTTTCTCACTGGACAGATCGAGCGGGGCCAAGTGCTACATGCTCTCCGCCAGAGAGCTGTTCATTACGTGGGCAGATACTCCGCAGTATTGGACGTGGGATTGCCTACCTGAATCCAGGTATGTGGTAATCTCCCACACTTTCTTCCCTCTTCGCATCGTAACTCTGAAAACCAAGCCTTTTGTTAAGAAAATGGGTACATTTTATTAGCTCATACACGAACTTCTGATCCATAGTTCTGTAATCCCAGTCTTACTTGAGGACTTGTAGCCGGTACTCTCATTACATAGATCCATTTGACGTACTCATTTATCTATTATGCTGCATGCTTGATGTAGTCTAATTAGATCTATTTATAAGCAATACCTGCATGCTATCTGTGTTACAGCCTCATTGGCATGCTAGAATGCATAGCCCAGCTAATATATTACATGATTGTTGATGGTAACTTTCCCCGTGGAAGGTTTGCGGAGGTTGCTGAACTGATCGACGTATGCTGGTTGGAGATTCGTGGCAAGATCGAAAGTAGAATGCTTTCTCAGAGAACAACCTACGCTGCCTATCTCATCTTCCGAATCTCCGATGTATCACATGGTCTCGGCTATCCGCCCCAAGAAGCATCAGTGAAGGTCGGAGGGCATTCGTCGACGAAAACGGTGTGTTTGCAGCCAAGTGACATGCTCAGCCATATGCATGCACGGAGGGCCAGTGCTTTGTTTGGGTATTGCGTACGCTGCCGCCGGTTGATGATGACTGCGGAAGCTGAGGAAGCAGCAGAGGAAGCCGAAGAAGTGGATGGAGCCCCTCAGGCAAGGAACGATGATTGGATGGAGCTGGAGCTGGGTGAGTTCTACATCGACGAGGGAGATGATGGGGAAGTCAATATAAGCTTGTTGGAGATGAAGGGAGGCGATTGGAAGAAGGGTCTGATCATAGAGGGAATCGAGATAAGGCCTAAAAACAATAGGTGAAATCTTCGAGTGATCATAAATAATTTGTCTATTCGCTTTCACTTTTGGTGATCAAAGAATCTATGTAGAGATTGTGATTCGTCAAGTTTGCAACAGTTAGCATGCTGATGTAACTGCGTTTCTTGTATAGCTTTTGTTGCTTGGGCGGAGATTGAGATGGAACGCATCAATTTGTCTTGTTGTGAGTTGCGTTCGAAAGACAGAAGAAACTGTCCTTTTCAAGCAAACGAGATTACACTTTTTCCTGGCATCAGACTCATTACCCCACCAAAATAAGAGCAATTCTAGCAACACCATTTCCTTTTTTAATCACCTTGTTGGCTACTCAAACCATCGAAGCGTATGGCAGATCATTCCGAGTCGCTCCTTCCTAGCCGATTTCTTTTCCTCATCCTTTTCTTTATTTGACAGCAGCTGGTTGATAATTTTTAATCTGTTTAAACAGATGCAATTACTGAGAAATTGACTTGAACTCTCTTGGCGCAGCTTAGGGTCTTTGTCGGGAACATAATAAGAAGACTGTCCTTCCAGGGGGCTTTGGCAAAACATGTCTAGATTCGATTTTGACACCAGGGACGATCATTGGTGGAGGTGCAGTCGAGCTGTCTCTTGTTGCGTGATGTGTGTGAAGGCGGGACAGAATGGACTGACAGTATGCACTATCCACTGGAACGATGATGGTAGAGGGGGATTGACTTGTAGAAAACTAACTAGTGAATGATTTATCCACAAGTTGTTGAATAGAGTTCGAATGCAAATGTTCGAAATTGGGAGAAAATTATTCATCGCCGCATATGTTGAAATCGATATTGGGATTGTAAGCGGAGGTCATCTTTAGGTTATTATGAAGTTCCGACATATTTATCTTGCTACATGTTATTCCTTTCAAAGTATTAATTTATTAATTTATATTTTAATTGTCTGACATATCAAAGAAATTGAAGCTTCTAAAAAAATTAGTAGAGATTTATAAAAATTGAAACTATAAATGAATAATATTTTTTTGGTAGATCATATTAAAAGCTCTTTTATAATAAATTTAGATAATAATCGAATTAAAGTGGAGAATTATTCTGTGAGATGGTTATGTCAAATCGTCAGCCAATCTATGTATGTCAATCCATCGACTGCTATGGTATTAACTCATGCTGACATCAAATGCTTTTGGTTGATATATCCTTGTTTATACTCATTGAGGTCCATAATCACCTCTTCTGCCCACCACCTATCATATTTAACAACTTATCGACCATCAGTTTCTGTGTCTTTCAGTCAACGTATCAAAAGGACAAATAGGTTCGCTTGTGAACGTTGACATCCACGTGTACCACTTGAACGTAATCAGACGTGGTCAACTTTAGCTCTGTAATCCGAGTTTGTTGAACGCAACCCGAGTTCACTCTGTTTAAGGTGGGTGTTAATGTGGGCCGGGCGAGACCGGGTTGTCTTCACACACTAAAGGACAACAAGAAACTGGTCCAAGATTAGGCCCATAACAACGCAAATAATTTGAACCGATTGAACATGGACCCCTGGCCGGGCCGGCCCGGGGCTTCGGCATCAGTTCATCTGAACCCACTCTGTGAACCTGATTTTCCAGAAACACCGGATATGACGGTGCGTCGGCTCAACCCGGGCTCGCCCAAAATCTATTTGTACCCCGAACGGGAAAGGCACAAGGGTTCCTCTCGGTGTCTTTCGCCCTTCCCTCGTCACACCGCCTCTCCCATCCTCCCAATCTCACCGGTGACGCTCTCTGTCTCAAGGGTTGCCGGAGCCCTCCGCCTCTGGCCGGGGACTCGACCTCTCAACCCCTGGTTCTTCGATCGGAGATCGGAGGAGAGGAAAGTTGGCTCGCGATGGCGGACGACTACGCCATGATGGAGAACGACGAGGACGATGAGATCACCCAGGAGGACGCCTGGGCGGTCATCAGCGCCTACTTCGAGGAGAAGGGCCTCGTGCGCCAGCAACTTGACTCCTTCGACGAGTTTATCCAGAACACTATGCAGGAAATCGTCGACGAGTCCGCTGATATCGAGATCCGTCCAGAGTCTCAGCACAACCCCGGCCGGCAGTCCGATTTCGTTGAGGTTGCCCTCTTCTTCTTTTCCCTGCTCCGATTGCTTCCTATATGTTGTAAAAGGCGCAGTTGAAGTGAGAAGAGGGTTTGATTCCTTGGTTGACTGAGATAGAGGACTAAGTCATGTGGTTGGATTGAATTTGCTTCAGCAAAAGGAATTATGAATGAAAGAACATAACTATACTGCAAATTATACGGTAAATTACTCAATATTAAGTAGAGAAATTACATGACAGAAACCTTCAGGAGTTGGCCTAGGCAGAAATTTAACCTCTTTAATAAATGATTCTGAAATTTTCACTTTACCATTATAGGATAAGTGGCCCACAACTGTTGCTCCTCTTGCTAGTTTTAAAACTTATGGTGTTTAGAGACGAAGCATCGATTTCATTTTCTTTGTATCAACTTGAGCCTGATGGCATGCATAAACTGTGAATTGCTATGTTCGTTCACGTTGCTTTTTTGCCCTTTTCCTCTTTTTGGGGTTTTGTCATAAGGGTTCCGTTCTATTGTTCTTGGGGTGTGTAACAGGAGGTTCCTTGGTCTCATGTGACAGTTGTGGAATGCTAGGGTGTAAATTCACTCCTGTCAAAATAATAACAGTTTGGGCTGTTTCATTTTACTTTAAAATCATTGATCTAGGTTATTGTAAAGTGAATGTCCTGTGAATTGAAATAACTTGTTCTTTATGGATTTCCCCTTCCTATGTCAATCTGCAGACTATTTACAAGATAAGCTTTGGTCAAATATATTTGAGTAGGCCAATGATGACTGAATCAGATGGTGAAACTGCGACATTATTCCCCAAGGCTGCGAGGTTGAGGAACTTGACTTATTCGGCTCCACTGTATGTTGATGTCACTAAAAGGATCATAAAAAAGGGACATGATTGTGAAGAAGTTGCAGAGACTCAAGATTTTGCAAAAGTTTTTATTGGAAAGGTGAAGAATAATTTTGTCTCATTTTCTTTGATCGGATGTTATTCCATTCAGCACTTCATATCTCTTTATCTTGCAGGTTCCTATAATGCTCCGTTCCAGTTATTGCACTTTATATCAAAATTCGGAGAAGGATTTAACAGAGCTTGGGGAGTGTCCTTATGATCAGGGAGGATATTTCATCATCAACGGAAGTGAGAAGGTGTTAATTGCACAGGAAAAGATGAGCACAAATCATGTATATGTATTTAAAAAGAGGCAGCCCAACAAGTATGCCTATGTAGCTGAAGTTCGGTCTATGGCTGAGAATCAGAACAGACCAGCAAGCAGCATGTTTGTGCGTATGCTTTCTCGTACTAGTGCAAAAGGGGTAAGTTTTATTACACATGCACTAACTTCCTTTTGCTTTCGATTGCAATCTTTTATATTTCCTGGTGTTCATGTATATATACATATTTTGAATGTTCATGCTCTTTGTATACCATATTCCTCCTGATAATGCAATTTTTCTACCACTAACAGGGTTCATCAGGTCAATACATTCGAGCTACTCTTCCATATATCCGGGCTGATATTCCAATAATAATCATCTTCCGAGCATTGGGGTTTGTAGCTGACAAAGATATACTGGAACATATATGCTATGACTTTTCTGATACTCAAATGATGGAATTGTTGAGACCATCCCTGGAAGAAGCATTCGTTATACAGAATCAGCAGGTAGTTTGTCAATTCATTTTTTTTTTTATTGTGGTGCATATTCAAGTTATTTCATTTTTTCTCCTATCTAATTTATTTTTTCCTGCATCTGTTTGTTGTTCCTCTTTCTTTTATGTATATTCTAAAGCTGAAGTTCATGTCTACAGATATGGATTGGTTCATCTCTATGAAAATTCTATATTTAGTCATGCATGATGCATTGATTTCTCATATTGACATCACACGCTTGTCTCTTATAGTCATTGTACTTGAAAGGTCTTTTGGTTGCTGTTTCTTCAGCTTATGAATCTTAAGTAGGTCTTCCTCCACTAAGAAACTTTTAGAACTGACACCCCAATTCTTCCTTCTGTGGGAGGTGGGCTGCCTATATTTCACTTCATCATTGTAGTTAGAAAACATATTAGCTGTACTTCCTCAAAGGATGGTGGATTGATCATAGGCAAAGGTTTAAAAGTATCGTGAAAGGATGGTGATTGAGCTTGCCCATAAGCTGCTAACAGCTGCAGGGAGTAGTTATATAAATGCTTTGAGGTGGCAATTTTCCACCCAATAATTCTTTAGCAACTATTATTAATGTTGAGTAGGACACTAAGGTAGCAAGCAAATAAATCATATATAATTATCATCTATGACCTATCTAACCATTTACCATATGACTATTACAAATTTTTTTAGACCTAAACTCGCAACACCTCGTTTTAGTCGCACATCGAGTTTGATGAGTATTTTAATTGACTCATAAAGGTCTAATGAGCTTAAACATTTTGGGCCAGTTATCTCATCAAATCAGATCATACCAATAGCTATTATGGTATTAGAGCCAACTAGTGATTTCAATACGCGCTCAAGTGCTCGGGCAAGGCGAGGCGAGGCCCAAGCGCCTCGCTTCATTTCCAGGCGGCGCACTTCAAAGAGGTGTTGCCTGGGCGCTCGCCCGAGCCCAGGCGTTGGCTTCGGGCGAGCGCTCAGGTTAAACTAGGCGATCGAACCAGCGTTCTAGGTTTGGTTTGGTCTCCGATGCTTTAGTTGGTTAATCGAACCAACTAAAGCATCGATATCAGCCTTCCTATCGTGACTTCCCAACCGTAACCCTGCTCGTCGCCGCTCGTTGCTGTCACTGTCACTATCGCCGCTCCCGCGCCCACTGCTCGTTGCTACCTTTGTCGCTGCCATTGTCGTTAGTCACCGCTGTCGCTGCCACTGTTGTCGCTCCCGCTGCCATCGCCGCTGCTCGCTGCTACTGCTGTCGCTACCACTGTCGTTGCTCGTTGTTACTGCTACCGCTACCACTGTCACCACTCTCGTTGTTGCTACCACTGTCGTCACTCACCACTCCCGCTGCTCGCTGCTACGGTTGTCGTTGTCGCTTCTCTCAGTCAACAGCCTCGATTTTCCTCTTACTCACACTCTTCTCACTTTGATGGTATATCGTTAACAGTATATTTTAACAGTCTATTGCTAACTGTATACTAGTAATAGTATTTTAATTTATTAGATTAATAATATATTATTTTGATTTTAATACTATTAATTTTTATTTATTTGAAATTATTGTTATTGTTTTGAATTTTGAGACTTTTTGTTAATGTGATTGTGATTTTATAATATTTTCTTAATTTAATATTATATTTTATTTAAATAATTATATTTATTAATTATATTATATATTTTTATATTTTAGCGTCTCACTTCGCTCGGGTGAGTGCCTAGCGCCTCAGATGTTTTTGGACCTTGGCGCCTAGCGCTTTTTAAATCACTGGAGCCAAGTTCCCTAGGACTATTGGACGGGGCTATCATGTATATCATGCTCCAAAAGGAACCACTAATAGATTAGGCCTCACATGTGCTATGCTAATGTTTGATCTGAGCTATGTTGAACCTAGATAAGTATGTCAAGACTTTATGTACGAGAGACTATGATCCCCATGAGTTAATCCCATATCAAAAGTGGGCAAGGATTTTGATTGACCTATACATACTACTATAATTTTAATCTTATGAATTTTATGCCAGTGATTTAGAGAACAAAATTAATTGGTCGGTTTTCTCATCACATCGGGCCATGGCGAAACTTCTCTCAATTTTACCCAAAAATTCAGAAGGCTCTTATCTCTTCAAGCTAAATTGAGATGTATGAATACATGATCAGAGCTACCTTCTTGAAAGGATATCCTCTCTGTGGTTTTTGTATTATTCTGCATTTTAGGATTTCAATGTAGTGAGAATGATACCTTGAATTTGAGAGAAGCGGCATCACAACTTCTGTTGGCTTGTTCAGGTGGGGTCTATTTGAGTAGTGAGGCTTGATGTATCTTAATATTCATGTTTATACAGTTGAGGAATGATGGTGTGGTCGAGGTGCAAGATGATCTTTTCTTGAGAACCTAAGCAACTTGACCATGGTGTTTGACAAATCTTTAAGATCATATAGTTTAAGGAAGGTCAAATTTGGTAACTGTGTTTAGCAAACACGAAGCTGTTGTCAGTGCAAAAGATGCATTCGTCAAGAGGCAAAGGAAAAAAATGAATGGTTTCTTTTGAAGGGCATGGAAAATTTTCTATTTGTCTCCAATATAATTGGTCTAGTGCTAGCATTTAGCAATTGAGTGGTGGCAGGGAAGCACTTGAATTCTTTTTTAATGTATAAGAATGCCTTCCCTTCTTGGTTATCATCCTTAGTAGAACATTCTGTAACATTATTGTTACTTCTCTTTGGTTGTCAAAAATTAGGAGTTCCTTATGAGGTCACATTTTGTATATTGGTCATCCTACAATTGATTAGAACAGATCTCATCCATTGTCTATGGTTAAACTGTAGTCTGCAAACTCATTGTTTAAATTTGAACTTAACAAGGAAACCCTTAGTCTAAGGTTAAATTTAATCAACAAACTCATTGTCTAAGGTTAAACTTAATCAGCAAGCCACTATTTTTGTTATATTCTTGAACATGTATGCTGCAACACTCGGTATTTTGTAACATAGATGTTACTTATCCTAAAGTCCCTTATGGGTTTATATCTTGTAGGGTGGTCACTTGATTGCAGATGATAGCTGAACTCATCCATCATCTAAGATTAGGTTGCATTCTTTGAAGCACAACTGTTCGCTAATTAAAGTTTTAACATCATTGTCCAGGTGGCATTGGACTATATAGGCAAAAGAGGAGCAACTGTTGGTGTCACTAGGGAGAAGAGAATCAAGTACTGAATATTTTTTACTCTTTCATTAATACTTATGAGTTGCATGCTGATGTTAGGTAGCAAATGATCTGTATTCTTCGGTACTTGATATATGTGCTGCTGATTTGTGTATAGGTACGCGAAAGAAATTCTTCAAAAAGAAATGTTGCCTCATGTTGGTGTTGGTGAATACTGCGAAACCAAAAAAGCTTATTATTTTGGGTGGGGTGTCTTACCTTTGTTTTATAGTAACCGTGATGGAATATGGAATATTGACATTTGTTTTTCCTCTATAGATATATCATTCATCGTCTGTTGCTGTGTGCTATTGGACGAAGACCTGAAGATGATAGGGATCACTATGGCAACAAAAGGCTGGATCTTGCTGGTCCTCTACTTGGTGGCTTGTTCCGAATGGTTTGCCTTAATATATTGTGTATTAGTAAATTTCTTTACCTTGTTTGGACAGTTCACTTTTATTATAGGTTTTTCCACATGCAGCTGTTTAGAAAATTGACAAGGGATGTGAGATCCTATGTTCAAAAGGTTTTTGATCCTTCTGTCAATCAACTATATTTTCTTTTAGACATTCACCACTTTTTTGGTGTCTAAACTTGGTTATTTTTGTGATATGATAGTGCGTTGACAATGGAAAGGATGTAAACCTTCAATTTGCAATCAAAGCTAAGACTATCACTAGTGGTCTGAAGTACTCTCTCGCAACTGGTAATTGGGGACAAGCAAATCAAGCTGGTACTAGGGCAGGGGTTTCACAGGTCCAACCTTCTTCTATCTGTTTCTATCGTACATTTTGTTGCCTGTGTAACTAATATTTGGTAGATGATTCAACTGGCAGGTGTTGAATCGACTGACATATGCATCTACACTCTCCCACTTGCGAAGACTAAACTCTCCCATAGGTCGTGAAGGTAAATCAGTTTAGCCATTTCTTTGAATTCAATTTTCCCTGATGTTGTTTAAGTAGTCAGATAATTCCTTTAATGATATTCACTTTTTGCTAGTTTGTAATTAGAATAATTTAATGATAATTTTATTTATATATATTTTTATTTATCAGGAAAATTAGCAAAGCCTCGTCAGTTGCATAATTCTCACTGGGGCATGATGTGTCCTGCTGAAACACCTGAAGGACAGGTAATTTTTTGAGAAACTTGCATCATTGTTAATCGGAAAGTATGGGTCAAACGCTTACTCTTATGGGAACTAGAAACTTGGTTAATGTAGACTAGCTCTTTTGGAGCTTGTGATTAACTTTGTTTTGTTTATTTTTAACACAATATTCATTGTTGATGTATATGCTCTGTGGTTGTGACAGGCTTGTGGCTTGGTTAAGAATTTAGCGCTCATGGTGTACATTACAGTAGGATCCGCTGCACATCCAATTTTGGAGTTTTTAGAAGAATGGAGTACTGAAAACTTTGAGGTAAGTATTATTTATTAGCAATCTTTTTATTTTTTCTCATTCTGAGAGTTGAGATGACAGAAATGGCATGGATAAGTACTGGAAAGATCTATTTTGCTGATTAAGTTATTGTATGGTTTCAACTATTGCAGGAAATATCTCCTGCTGTTATTCCACAGTCGACTAAAATTTTTGTCAATGGCTGCTGGGTTGGGATTCATCGAAACCCAGACCTCTTGGTCAAGACCTTAAGACAATTGAGGAGACAGGTCTGAAACCTTTATCTGGATACTACTTGTATAAATGTTTATTCTCTATGCAGTTTTGCCTGGTCTGTAATTATCTTTTTTTCAATTATTTTTTATGATTGCAAGGTTATTTACAGTTCCTTAAAACTATTTAGACATAAGCCTGTCACAAAGGAGTTGTCATATTTTTCTACTTAAACTTTTGCTAGTAAATCAAACAACTAGGCTGACATAAATCAAGTTCATAGGAGATTTCAAAGCAGGAACAGCTTTTCAAACCTAAATTATTGTCTTTAATACTGTTGGGCTTTCTATATAATATTTGTCCATGGAAAACTCATTCACAATTTATCAAACGTTGAAGACCAACCTAATTTCAACAACCTAAGAACAAGCAGCTTCTGTGAGAATAGATATTTTGAACTTTGTTCCACCTTCCTATGGTTAAATGTGATGCAGGATTTAAATGTGAATAACTTCTATTAGTTTAGGAGGTATTTTGCAAAGGTAATAAATTGCCATATGCAAAGTCTAAATTCCATTCAAGTGACGACACTGGTTGGTAGTCACATTGGTATTGTTCTGGTACCCAACTTATGGGCACTATGAGTTAATACTGTCCAGACCAAGAGAAACAGACAGAGAAGAGCGGGAGGAGCAAGGAGGCAGAGCAGGACTGGGCGAGGGGGGAGGAAAAGGTAAAGGAGAACAAAAGGTGGAGGAGGAAGCGGCAACCTGATGAAATAGTGGGATATGGTTAGTCAAGGCAGTGGAGCGTTAATGGCACGATGAAGGGGAGGAGGGAGGGGCAGGTGAGTAGGGAGAGAGATAAAGAGAAAGAAAGGGGAAGAGTTGATTCAGGATCTTTCATATGCGAAAGTTTATTAATATTGAAGATTGTACTAAAAAGAAGTCTACTGATTAAATATTTTATTCAGGATTATTGTTTGTCAAAATATGAAAATATATCTTCTTTAGAGAAGGAAAGATTTAGGGATTGGTATGTCTTATTTGTGAGTATTATTCTTTCTCATTTTTGTAATTTTTCATTGTACTCGGGCCTGGGGAATTAATATAATTAAAAGATCATAAAAGGACGGAACAAAAGCAAATTTTTTCACAATATGCACTAGTAGTGTGACAGTACAGTATAAGTTCTAGGCTTTTTGCTGATTGGTTCCATTATTGCAAAGCCGCCCCAAATCCAGAAGAACATTCTTTTCCAGTCTCTTCAACCAATCAATACAACCCCCATGAGATAACTTGGGTAACTGCTGTGGTTTTGACCGAATATTTAATCAATCGAGGAACATGGTGTGATTTCATCATTTATGTGTATCTATTGTGTGAGACATGTGGAGGTATGAGACATTTGTCTCTAGGAGTTACACTTTGAGCTAGAGTGATTATGATAGTTATCCTTTTTTAATGATCGTTTCCAATTATTATCTTTGCGTTTCTCTCTCTTTTTCTTTCCCGCTTCTCAAATTAAAGAATATATGTTTTTTCTGCTCAATATGAACTCCTCCTATAATGAATGGCATTGCAACAGAATATAATTTTTAGTCCTTATCAAATTTGTATTCTTTGAGGCATAGATCTGGTATTCTATAAAATAACTTTCTTTAAAGGACAATATTATATTTCATGCTGTTGCTTTGTTTATGTTTGCTGTCTTTGCATCATTGGGCAGGCTATGGTACACAGTCTCTTGGGTTGTAACATCTTTACTATTGTTGCTATATGTCTTATGATTCTTAGTAGGCTCCATGAGCATCCAGTATGCGATTATAATTATTTATTCTCTTGACCAATCAAACCTCTACATAGTGATTACTTTCTATTTCATTTTTGTTCTACTTAGCCATGTCATCATCTTTTGTCTGTATGCTTATAGAAAGTGCTCCTTTACCATTGATTTTTTTTCTCACAGATTGATGTCAACACTGAAGTGGGAGTTATACGCGATATTCGTCTCAAGGAATTACGGCTTTACACAGACTATGGTCGCTGTAGTCGTCCACTATTTATTGTTGAAAAGCAAAGGCTGCTGATAAAGAAAAAGGATATTCGAGCATTACAACAAAGGGTATCGTTCTTACAGTAAAAGATCAATTAGATCTTTTCTGAAGGTTATAGTTTCATATATTAACTTTTGTATGCTTTTCTCCCAAATAGGAAACTCCGGAAGAGGGTTGGCATGACCTTGTTTCTAAGGGATTCATAGAGTATATAGATACCGAGGAAGAAGAAACTACAATGATTTCAATGACAATTAATGTAAGCTTCCATATTTTTGTTCAAATATCCTCTTTGGACACATTTTTTAGTTATTAATAAGGGAAGATCTTTTCATGTGAAAACAAATGACATTGCATTTGGTTAATACATCGAAAAAAAGATGGCCACTAGTGCCTGTCCCATTAATTAAATTTTACATAGAAGATGTGTAGCATAGTTTCCCAAAAGCTGCACCCAGTTTCATGATTCAACAATCAGAATCTTTTTTGGTAACACAATACCCTAGATGAGCAGTCTTGATTTTTTTTTTTTACAAATTAATCATACTTCATTGTTACTCAACATTGTGTTACCTTTGAGTAAAGAGGATTACATGATTATTCTCTAAGGAATACAACATTCAATTCGTGTTTTTAATTTTAAGACCAAAGGATAAAAATGCAGTGTTTTGAGGCTAAGTAAGACGTAGAAGATATAGAATCTTCTTACTACAAAGAATTTTCTGAAAATTTGGACACTAAGGTATTATATAATGATTTCATGTTATATCAACTAAAAAGGTGATATTTGTTTCCTGACATGCTAGAGTGCCACATTAAAATGGAACATACATAGGTCTCCATGGTAGAAACTTGCTCTTGGTTGCATAAGTGGAAGTTATATTCATTATTAATTGGTTATGGCTGCACACTTCAGGATCTTGTGAATGCAAGGCAGAACCCAGAGGAAGCGTATTCTGAAACTTACACTCATTGTGAGATCCACCCATCATTAATATTGGGTGTTTGTGCATCTATTATTCCATTTCCTGACCACAACCAGGTATCTGTTAAACGCTACTAAGCATTATTTGCTCCTTGTACTTGTTACTATAGCTCTTCTAATTTGGTTATTTGTTATCAGTCACCTCGTAATACATATCAATCAGCTATGGGTAAACAAGCAATGGGAATTTATGTGACAAACTATCAGTTACGGATGGTATGTATAATCCAACTTCTTTACAGTTTGTTGTAACAAGTACAAGTGGATGCTAATTTAAGGCTTTTTCGTGCAGGATACGTTAGCTTATGTTCTATACTATCCGCAGAAGCCCCTTGTTACTACTCGTGCTATGGAGCATTTGCACTTTAGACAACTTCCAGCAGGCATTGTAAGAGTACTACATTTTTTTTATTATGCTGCAACAGAAGTCATTAAGATATCTTTGTTTATCTCATAATTGTATTTTCTGTGTAGAATGCTATTGTTGCAATTGCTTGCTATTCTGGGTATAACCAAGAAGACTCTGTTATTATGAACCAATCTTCAATAGATCGTGGATTCTTTCGATCATTGTTTTTCCGTTCTTACAGGTCTAAGATCTGAACCATTCATCTTTTGATTGATGATTGGTCTTCAACATTATATTCTACAGAAAGTTTATTTAATATCAGTGACAACCTCTTTTGCCAGGGATGAGGAAAAGAAAATGGGAACTCTTGTTAAAGAGGATTTTGGGCGTCCAAACAGGGAAAACACCATGGTCAGTTTTTAAGATTGACCATGCATTAGTGACTAATTTTTCTAGTTTAGGAATGTGGATTTATATTTTCCTTAATTTCAGGGCATGCGTCATGGGTCATACGAAAAACTGGACGATGATGGTCTTGCACCTCCTGTGAGTATCAGTAATTTTCTCATGCACCCAGGCCTGTTAATGCCTTTTTCTTATATCTAGTTAAACCCCGTTGTACCAGGGTACAAGAGTCTCTGGTGAAGATGTTATAATAGGAAAGACGAGTCCAATTCCTCAAGATGATGCCCAAGGACAAGCTTCAAGATACACGCGCCGTGATCATAGTACTAGTTTGCGTCATAGTGAAAGCGGGATGGTGGATCAGGTATTATATTCACCACCTCTGCTGTTATTTGGCTGTCGCAATGGAATATCTTGGAAGTTGAAAGCTCTTGGTATTGGATGCAATTCAGTTTTGTTCATCGAGCATGCATCATCTGCAGGTTTTATTGACTACAAATGCTGATGGTTTGAGGTTTGTGAAAGTGAGGATGCGATCTGTTCGGATACCTCAAATCGGTGATAAGTTTAGTAGCAGACATGGTCAGAAGGGAACAGTTGGTATGACATACACACAGGAGGATATGCCGTGGACAGTGGAAGGCATTACACCTGATATTATTGTAAATCCACATGCCATACCTTCTCGAATGACCATCGGTCAGCTAATTGAGTGCATCATGGGAAAGGTTGCTGCTCACATGGGAAAGGAGGGTGATGCTACCCCTTTTACTGATGTCACTGTAAGTATGTTGCTTTGACTTGTAGGTCACTTTGGTGCTATACTATTCCATTTTTGTCTCTTACACCAGTGGTAGAAAAGGGGGAAACAGGTAGAACTATAGTTCGTTGTTGATCTTGGAATTTGGAAAATCTTGCTGTTTCTGGATTTTTCGGTAATGTCTTTTGCTTTTAGAAGTTTCTAGAGATAATTTGTTCTGGTCATCTCTAGAATAATTCCTGCATATCCTTTTCTAGTGCAACACACAATACCTATATATAAGCCCAAGATGGTTGCACACGGTCACTGTGATCTGTCTTGAAGTGCTGAAAACCCTCTTTAAAGTATTTACAATTGCTTAACCTCTGGCTGCTAAATATAAGATCCTAATCTAGATATCCATGTGATTCTAGGATATACTGGGATATGAAGGTGATGCACTTAAAATATTTGCTAAAATAAAACTTAGTACTCTTTTGAGTAAAAAATTCTTGAAAAAATACTTTTTTTTTTTCCTTCATAGAGATTTGTGCACATGAGAAAATAAGCTCCCTTTAAGTGGAGATCTGATATATCTGCATGCTGCAGAATTTTTATGTGTATTATGTGTAACCTCTTCTTTCTGGTTGGAATGCTTGCGACTTATATTCTGCTATCATGAGATTCTGTCACTATCTAATGAGTCAATGTAGGTTGTTTCTTCTTTATGCTTCTTGTGTAAAAAAAAATTATCCTTTGTGTTCAGTGCTGACTTATCCTCTTTCAGCATGTTCAAAGTCTTTTTTGTCATGTATTGTAACCATGTATATATTCCCTTTCTGAAAAAAAAAACTTTAATGAATTCAGTATCCTACCACTGGATGCATATACAAAACATGGGGACACAGAAAGTATGATAAAACCTTCTAGAATTACGTATCTGAATAATTATACGTATGGTACTGGATGAATTTTTTTTTCTTCCACCATTACCTTTTCAGGTTGACAACATCAGCAAGGCTCTTCATAAGTGTGGTTATCAGATGCGTGGTTTTGAAACAATGTACAATGGTCATACTGGACGGAAGTTAACTGCTATGATATTTCTTGGTCCTACATATTATCAGAGACTGAAGCACATGGTCGATGATAAGATCCATTCTCGAGGGCGTGGTCCTGTGCAGATACTTACCAGACAGCCTGCAGAAGGACGCTCTCGAGATGGTGGTCTTCGGTTTGGTGAGATGGAGCGAGACTGCATGATTGCACATGGTGCTGCACACTTCTTGAAGGAACGGCTGTTTGATCAAAGTGATGCTTACAGGGTTCATGTGTGTGAGAAATGTGGACTAATAGCTATTGCCAATCTTAAGAAGAATTCTTTCGAGTGCAGAGGTTGCAAGAACAAAACTGACATTGTTCAAGTAAGATATTTTCCTCTCTTTTTCTCTTCACACAGTGGATCATAGTAGTTCAAGGCCTTAACAGTATATGTAGGTGTTTGCTTGTTCAAAATGCTGTTACTAGTTATGCTTTTGTATGTCTTGAGAGCTGAGCTAACTTAGGTATTAGGTTTTATTGCTAATTTTTTGAATATTGATATTGAACTAATAGTAAAAAAACTGGACCTTTCATTTTCATGTCCCCTACCACTCGAAAAACCCACAACACAGTGCAATGTTTCTTTGTCTATCTCATTTCTTTTAATATGCTTCAATTCTTTTAATGTGTCTCTCTGGCATGTATATTTGTTGATAACCATCCTCCCTTGTAGTAAATACAAGCTTGCTATTGAAATTTGTTTATCCAAAGTTTTAAAATTGCCTGAATCTTTTGTGATCATACAGGTGCATATACCTTATGCATGTAAGCTGCTATTCCAAGAACTTATGGCTATGGCCATTGCTCCTAGAATGTTGACCAAGGAACCGAATCCAACCAAAGATCAAAAGAAGAAATGATGATCAACTGTGCTCTCATCCATGCAAGTTTTCAGCTTTTAGAGAATACCCTGCCCCTGGATCAAGGAACTGCAAAACATTTGCATGTTTTGTAATCTTGGGCTCCGAATTATGTGCGAGACACCCAAACCGCAGTTTAGTCCAACTATTGAGGCTATGAGCACAAGTACTTAGTTGGATCAGTCTTTTGTCATAGACCTCGGAGGAGAACGGAGCAGTATTTTCCTCTGTTGGAGTACTAGTTGAAGGCTATAGTTAGAAAAAGGAAGCTTGATGCAGAAACAATGGTGCTTGTTCCGTTCTAGTTATATGTTTTTACAAATCTATCAGACATTAATAGTTGTGCTACACTGCTAACCATGTGAATGTCTTGTCCAAGTTGACTGTGGTTCTATCTGGAACATCACAAGGGACACCTGAATTGTGTAATAGTACTAAAAAAGTTGGCATTAATATCACGATGATCGTATGTCACTGTTGCCAAAATATTTTCATCGTTTTGTTCAGTTGCATTAACAATTTGAGATTTGATTACATAAAATATTTATTCTTATTGCGTAAGGGTATGGATACTGAGTGACTGCGGGACCCACTGGGGCCCAACTGTTGCCTCCAGAGGTAAACCAGGTACGTTTGGGGGGTAAGTATTGTGAGTGGAGAAAGGGTTGGGCTGCTATCTCGAAGAGGCGAGGCGGTTTTCCTTGCGCAAGGCCGACCGCTATATGACCGAAAACCCGAAGCCCTAGTTAACCCCTTTTCCGTTTGGAGCTTCGACCTCCGGAGTAGGGAGCGTATCCTTCCTCTCGCACCTTTTCCTCTTCTCCGCCTCTCTCTGTCGGCGGCCGGCACTGCCTTCTTCATTCGCCTACGCCCCTTTGCCTGTCCCAATTCCACTCCCTGGAGAATTCTTCCTCTCTACTGCGTAGTCTGCTGTGCGGCCGCGCCATCCACCGCCTCGAACTCAGGTAAAATACTGTTCTTCCTCCGCTTCCTTGGAAGAATTTCTACGAGTTTGTGGTTGATTTTGGTTTCAGTTTGGATGTTTTGGATGGTGCTTCCTCATTTTCTCTGCAGTTTTTTTGTTCATGATCTTAAAATTTTTTTCCCCTTCATTGCTCTTCCTGTAATCGTCGATTAGGTTTTGATAGATTATTCGATATCTTTTTTGGCCATGTAGGAAGAGATCTATTCTGCAAACCCTAGCGTTTACTACCAAGTCTTTTATTTATGTACAGACTTCTATATTCGAAGCTTTTTTGCAACTCCAGTACAAACCTAATCGAAGCTTCTATATTTATGTACAGACCTCTATATTCGAAGATTCAATACAAAAGCTTTTTGCTGTAACACAGGGTTGTTTTTTTTTCCTTTTTTTCTTGTGCATAGAGTCAAGAAAGGAGTTTCTTAGACACAGAAAGATCTTCAACAAAATTTATTATTTTATGCTTCTTTTCTTTCGAATGATGACAGATAGTCATATTGTTACACTAATATTAATTTTGATCTTTTAGGTTATACTATTATTTTTTTATTAAAAAATAATAAAATTAGGATGCTTACATCAACTTGTTATCTTTTTTCAGATTGTTTGCACATATTAAGTCTCTTTTTACACGAATGTCACCTGGTAATTTCTGATGGCTGATCACCATAATGGAAGTGCAAAACCACCAGCCTCTGCTGCTGGTGCTTATACAATCAACCTTGAGAACTTCAGCAAGCGCCTCAAGGGGTTTTATACTCATTGGAGGGATCATAAATCTGATCTTTGGGGTTCTACAGATGCTATTGCAATTGCAACCCCACCTACTTCTGAAGATCTTCGTTACCTTAAATCCTCAGCACTGAATATCTGGTTGCTTGGATACGAGTTTCCTGAAACCATTATGATTTTCATGAACAAGCAAATTCATTTCTTATGTAGTCAGAAGAAGGCCAACTTGCTTGGTACCATTAAAAAGTCTGCCCAAGAGGCTGTTGGAGCTGATCTTGTAATACATGTCAAGGCAAAAAATATTGATGGGGCATCCCTGATGGAGGAGGTTATACGTGCTGTTCGTGTACAGTCTAAATCAGAGTCTCCTATTGTTGGATATATTTCAAAAGAAGCACCTGAAGGGAAGCTACTTGAGAGCTGGGCTGAGAAGCTAGGCAGTTCGACCTTACAGCTAACTGATGTAACAAATGGTTTCTCTGAATTGTTTGCTGTCAAGGATGTCACAGAGCTTACCTGCATTAGGAAGGCAGCATATCTAACTTCATCGGTGATGAAAAATTTTGTAGTTCCAAAACTTGAGCGGATAATTGATGAGGAAAAGAAGGTTTCTCATTCTTCCCTGATGGATGATACAGAAAAGGCAATACTTGAGCCATCGAGGGTCAAGGTTAAACTGAAGGCAGAAAATGTTGATATATGCTATCCTCCTATCTTTCAGAGTGGAGGTCAGTTTGATCTTAGACCCAGTGCATCCAGTAATGATGAAGATTTGTACTATGATTCCACAAGTGTGATCATTTGTGCAATTGGCTCACGTTATAATAGTTATTGCTCAAATGTTGCTAGAACATTTTTGATCGATGCAACTGCAATTCAGAGTAAGGCATATGAGGTGCTTCTTAAAGCTCATGATGCTGCAATTGGTGCTTTAAAGCCTGGAAATACTGTTGGTGCTGCTTACCAAGCTGCGTTAGCAGTGCTTCAGAAGGAAGCACCAGAGCTTATTCCATACCTTACAAAGTCAGCTGGAACAGGGATAGGTCTTGAGTTTCGTGAGTCTGGGTTGAGTTTAAATTCAAAAAATGACCGTTTGTTGAAGGTTGGGATGGTTTTTAATGTGTCACTTGGTTTCCAGAACCTCCAGTCTCAGACTAACAATCCAAAGACGGAGAAGTTCTCTTTGTTGCTAGCTGATACTGTTATAGTGAGTGAGAAACCTGCTGAGGTCTTGACTGCAGGCTGCTCCAAAGCAGTTAAGGACGTTGCTTACTCATTCAACGAGGAAGAGGAAGAACCTCCTAGAGTCCGACCTGATCTGAATGGCAGTGGAGTGCTTCCTTCCAAAGCAACCCTAAGGTCAGACAACCAGGAGATGTCGAAGGAAGAGTTGCGGAGACAGCACCAAGCAGAGCTTGCTCGTCAAAAGAATGAAGAGATTGCCAGGAGGCTAGCTGGTGGTGGGTCTTCAGCTGCAGAAGGGCGAGGTCCAGTAAGAACTTCGAGTGAGCTGATTGCTTACAAGAATGTAAGTGATATACCGTTTTCTAAGGAACTAGTGATACAAGTAGACCAGAAGAATGAAACTATCCTATTACCAATTTACGGAAGCATAGTGCCCTTCCATGTTTCTACTGTGAAGAGTGTGACCTCCCATCAGGACAACCGAACCTGCACTATCCGCATAATATTTAATGTACCTGGTACACCATTTAGTCCCCATGATGCGAACACCCTTAAGTTTCAAGGTGCTGTTTATTTGAAAGAAATCACATTTCGGTCCAAGGATCCGAGGCATAGCAGTGAAGTGGTACAACAAATCAAGACCCTTAGGAGACACGTCACATCTAGGGAGTCAGAGAGAGCTGAAAGGGCTACTTTGGTTACCCAGGAGAAACTGCAGCTTTCTGGAAACCGAATGAAACCAATAAAATTACCAGACCTGTGGATACGCCCCTCATTTGGCGGTCGTGGAAGGAAGCTTACAGGCACTTTGGAGGCTCATGTTAATGGATTCCGTTATTCCACATCAAGACCTGATGAGCGAGTTGATGTCATGTTTGCAAACATCAAGCATGCCTTCTTACAGCCTGCAGAGAGAGAAATGATTACGCTGTTGCACCTCCACCTGCACAATCATATCATGGTGGGCAACAAGAAGACAAAAGATGTTCAGTTTTATGTGGAAGTCATGGATGTTGTGCAGACTTTAGGCAGTGGGAGGAGATCAGCTCTCGATCCTGATGAGATCGAGGAAGAACAGCGCGAGAGGGATCGGAAAAATAGGATAAACATGGAATTTCAGAACTTTGTGAACAAGGTACAAGATCACTGGGCACAACCACAATTCAAAGCTCTTGATTTGGAGTTTGATATGCCTCTGAGAGAGCTTGGATTTTATGGAGTTCCTCACAAGGCTTCGGCTTTCATCGTTCCAACTTCCGGTTGTTTGGTTGAGCTTATTGAGACACCATTCTTGGTGGTAACCTTGAGTGAAATCGAGATTGTTAATCTGGAGAGAGTGGGGTTTGGGCAGAAGAATTTTGACATGGCCATTGTGTTCAAGGACTTCAAACGGGATGTTCTTCGCATAGATTCTATTCCATCCTCGTCTCTTGATGGAATCAAGGAATGGCTCGATACAACAGATCTGAAGTACTATGAGAGTAGACTGAACCTCAATTGGCGCCCGATCCTGAAAACTATAACTGAAGACCCTGAGAAGTTTATCGAAGATGGTGGATGGGAGTTTTTGAACATGGATGCCAGTGACTCGGACTCTGAGAACACTGAGGAGTCAGACCAAGGATACGAACCGTCTGATGTTGAGCCAGTGTCTGCTTCAGATGATGAAGACAATGAGAGCGAGTCCCTGGTGGAGTCAGATGATGACGAGGAGGAATCCGAGGAGGATTCCGAGGAGGAGAAGGGGAAGACATGGGAAGAGTTGGAACGGGAGGCAAGTAACGCTGACAGAGAGAAGGGTGATGAATCAGACAGCGAAGAGGAGAAGCGCCGGAGGAAGGCAAAAGCATTTGGGAAGTCACGGATTCCAGATAGAAGGGATTTGAAGGGAGTACCTGCTGCTAAGAGACCAAAGTTCAAGTGAAGCCAGCAGTCTTTCCTTATAGAAGGGGCATAATTGGAGCACCTGCTAAGACACCAAATCAGAGTCCGAATGAAGCCAACCATGTTTTGCGAGCTTGTCATGCTATTGAACTTTGTATATTTTCCTAGTGTTGTGCTAGTTTTGTTTAGTGGTCTGTTCATGATGTAGCGCAGAATCACTCGACTTTTACCATGTAAATTTGAATTGCAGATGCAGTCCTGGAAGGAAGTGGCCTCAGAACTTGTTGCAGTCATAAGATACTGCACTTCAAAAGATGTTTGTATTAACTTGAAACATATTTGTTTGGCTATTTGTTTCCCAGATCAGCTGCGAGTCATGATTTGGAAGGGAGATGGAACCAGGGAAACAAGAGGAAGCATGGCACAGTATCATGGAAGAAGGCACTCGAAGTGTCGTGGACTTGCTTCTGTTGGTGTCGATCATGAAGGTTTGCCTGAGAACCACCACCTCTATGTCCCCTTTGTCCCTTCACCTGATTGTGGAATCCAACTAAGACCCAACTACTTAATATAATTCTTTGTATCATCTTTTCTGGTTATCGCTTTGGTTGATTGCTACAACTTTTAACCAGCATTGGTATGCCTCTGCTAGTCTGAGGTGTTGTAGTAACATGGAGCTTGCTAGTGAAAGGAAACAAAAAATTAGGTGTTTTTTGTTTGTATCATGAGCTGTGCATCATAGCCTTCTTACATTTAGAACAAATACTACAATGATTCTCTATATATTCCTTTTACTCAAGTCTTTGTTTGTATTCATATGCTTTGACGTTTCTGAGCATGGATCCCTATGTATGCTTCTATGTAGTACAAGTTTCTTTCCGTATACCAATGGTCACAGAATATAGATCAGGCTAAAATAATTGTATTGCATGAAGTTCCATAGCTTTAATCACCTGATTCAGAAAATTCAATGTGTTTAAAGTCGTTTATTGATTCAGAATTTTGATGTTTGCATATTGACTCCTCCAAATCCGAAGAAAGTAGCTGAGGGAGATGGTGGGGTGATTGTCAAATCTAGCTGTTCACACTTGGATGATTGCATATTGACTCCTCCAAAGCCAGGTTAGCTAGCTGTTTCATTCTTGCCTTGGATGTGATGGTTCTGTTCATGTGATGACGTCCCTTGATCGTGATGCAGGATTCCATTTCTGGTCCCATTCATCTCTCTCACTTTCCTGTCATGCTTTTTCCTCGTAAGGCAAAATCAAGCATCACTTTGGATGTGTGACTGGTTCTGTTCCAATTGATACATCTGTCGTCTTAGCGGTGGGTCGTCTGGCAATTTCCCGCGCTGGACCACCAGCCGTCACTCTCACATGGGCATCGGGGATAGTTTCCCACATGGATTCGGTAAGTCTCGAGTCATGAGGTCACTAGGTCAATTAATAAGATCTAAAATTTAATATTAAAAATATATTTATATTCATATTAAAATGTAAATAATATTATAAATATGAATTTTATAATATACTAAAAGAGGATGATAGAGATAAAACAAATAATGAGGGAATGAAATTGAGTGAAATTTTTTTTAACAAATATATATATATATATATATATATATATATATATATATATATATCAAATTTATTTGGTAATAAATGAAATGAGAATATTTGAACCTTATAGAAGTTCAAATGTCTAGGAGTCTGATTTTTTTGGTTTTTGTAACTATGCTTTAAATATAGATAAATGCCCCAGATTTTTTGTGTTTATTTATAACCATGCTAGAAATGGAGATTTATATACAAATAATAATAATAGAAAATAGATATGAGATAGAGATTAACAGGTAAATGAAACGAAAAATTACATAGAATTACTCAGTAGAGGAGACGTGGGTGAAGAGGGAAGCGTGAGGTTGGTGGTGAATCGAGTGCGTTGGATTTGAGTATGTTGGACAATATAGTAGTCGACGAGTGATGTGTAGTAGAGGCCGGGGTATTGGATGGCATCACATAGCGCCCATATAAATTCCGTGGAATTCTCATCGGAGGAAACTTAGAGTTGATGCTTGGACCGACGAAATCTTGGTGGCGAGCGCATTTAGGATGGTGGTGGTGACACTCACGAGGGCGGAGTGACAGGTGGGTTAGCCCGTCCATGCGGCAACCGGGGGGAGAAATATTATTGATATTATTAAATTTTAATTATGGTTATCGATTAATAAAATAAATAAAATTATTTATGAGATAATTTTGATTGATGAGACTCTTTTAATTATTTATCCTGATCCTGTTCTCACTTATGATCTCTTAGAGATAAAATAATTAATTATTAAGATATTATAGATTTTTTAATCTCTTTTTGACCCTAATTCATCTTTTGTAATAGTTCTGTAAAGGATAGAAAGATAAGAGAATACAAGTCTAGCTCTCCTTATAGATCAATATCACTGTAACTTTCGAATCCGATGATAATGTGCTTAGACAAATACTTTCTCAGTAGCATCGAAATGTCAATATCGTATATTTGATCTATTATTATTTAATTTTAGTTTTTGACATTAAGTTTTTTTGGTATAATAATAGCATATTATGATTTTTTATGCTTACAATTGATATCAAAGTCATGTTTTGAAATCAAATATATTATGTTGCAAAAGTATTTTAGATCTATTTTGTATTTGGATATATGTGTTGATTGATACCATTCGTTTACGAAAAAGTGTTATCCGGTTTTGATTTACGATAGTTGAATGTATTTGTTTCTGTTGTCGATCTATTTTTTTATCTAGTTTATCATGTGGCCTACTTGCGGGCGATGTGAGATTCCTCATGTTTGATCAATGGACCATTGTCGACAACAGTATTGTTGAGAGCGGCAACCTTTGATGGTCACTAACTCAATTGTCGGTAGCGAGTGCACACACAGCGGAAGCATCGTGGGGTGCGGTAGCCTTGCAGTGATTGACCTACCTTGGTTGCAAGCGGTTGTAATAGTGTAGTTGTGTACGACGGCTACAACAGCATCGTTGTTGCTTGTGACAATTATAGTAGAGCCACTACCTACAACGACTACAGTAGTGTCGTGGCTATGACTGCTGGAGTAGTGTTGTTGCCTGCAGCAATTGTAGCAACATCGCTACGACATTTATGAGTCACGAGCAACATCAACTGGACACCGAAGGCTAGCGACTTCTCGGGCAAAAGCCTCCCAATAACCATCATTGCGATCGTTAGGTGACACGTGTGCATAACCCCATGTGGGCACGATGGCATAGCACTGCATGACAATCGAAAGTCATCGATCGACATTGTAAGGACAATTGCCGCCTAGAGCAACGACTGTAGGTCATGCTCAAGCAACAACCTCGCACTGTGATAGTCAATTGCCTTGCGTAGTGATCATGAAAAAGAAGGTGAGAATTATTAAAAAAATATTTTTATCCTTCAAAAATAAAAAAAATTATATTTTTATCCTTAAAAAATAAAAAAAATTATATTTTATCCTTCAAAAATAAAAAAATTAGTATTATAGTATTTGAAGAATTCAATATTATATCTTTAATATGCATGACAAAGATGTAAGTTCAAGAACATTGGGTATAAATATAGTTAAGTTCCTTCTCATATAATTTATTCTTAATTTTATTTTTTATTAGTGTGGTTCATTCAAAATTTATTATAATAAAATTAAGAATAAGTGAAACTTAAATGAGCTACCCAATATATGTATATAAAAGAAATAAAATAAAGTAAAAGAGACTCATAATATTTTTCGTATTACTCGAGTGAGTAACATTAAGAGGTTGAAGTATAATTTATAAATACTATATAAATTCATAAAAAAATATTTATAGTAAAATGTCGCAACTAAGGTTATGTGAACGAGGAGTAGAAGATTTTAGTTAGAAAAAGAAAGGTATAAATATGATCTTTGTATATTTCGAATCAATAGTTATAGAATTTTTTTTTAATACTTGATAGATTGATATTAATGCCTTAATTTATGTTACTAATAATAGAGATTCATGAGAACCAAAAGAGTATAAAATAATCATTATTTTAGGGAATCAATTTAAAGTGAAAGTGTTAGTAGTTATTGCTTATCGTTGATATTTAGAGATGATTCATCTAATATTATGTTCATATAATTCTAAAAATTAGAGTTCTTTATCTATAATTGTCAAGATATTATTTTTCGTTGATAGAGGTAAACTCATTATGATTTAACAAAAGTTAATTTTTTACTTCTACATGATGGTTTGTGCAAAATTAATATGAATCTTGAGTTTATAATGATCATATAATAAAACATTAGAATGAAAAAACCATGAACTCCTTAAGATTATATATGCTTACATCTATGGGTTATTTCATATTCTATATTTTTATGGAGAAAGAAATTTTATTACTTTTATAGTCTCATACTGTTGATACTTTTAGGTATACATAAATAAAGTTAAGAGATAATTATATAAAAATTTAAAAATTATCTAATCTGACAAGGGTAGTAAATTTTATGGTAGTTACGATGAACATGATCATAATTCTAGTTCTTTTCTTATATTCCTAAAAAAACAAAGATTTGTGCTCACTATGTTTTATCATATATATTATAGTAAAATTAGATTACTGAAAGATGAAATCATACTCTTATAAATATAATTAGGAGTATGATGAGTTATTTTTCTATACTTGAATTAATGTGAGGAGAAGCTCTGAGAATGATTATGTATGTTTTAAATAGGGTTCATACTAAGTCAATATCATCAACTTTTTTTTGAGTTATAAATTGATAAAAAATCTAACCTAAGATATTTATATATTTGAGATTATCCTACAAAGATAAGGATCTTCAATTCAAATGAAAAAAAATAGATTCAAGAATTAGTTCTAGGTATTTAATTATTTATCAAAAAAATTCAAAAGGATATATATTTCATTATTCTAATCATGGTGCAAGAAAAATTAACTTTAGTAATATAAGATTTCTAGAAAATAGCGAATCAATTGGAGTGAAATTTTTAAAATTTAATCTTGATATTGCTATGAATTTTAGGATAGTTGATACGAATGAAGTATCTTATGTTATTGATATTAAAATATTTGAGAATAGAACTCTGTAAAGACTTTCAAAAAGAATATATTGATCGAGTCTTAAAGAGATTTAGTATATAATTTTATTTAGCAAATGATATAAATAAAAATTTCAATCAAAACAAATATTTTTAAAATAATTAAAAAATTAAATAAAGAAAAATATTCTTTATATATGTGTAGTTGGAAGTCTATACTAGACCAGATAACAATTTTATAGTTAAAATA